GGTCCTTTCCAACCTAAACGATTCTATGATTCTATGATTCTCTCTCCCATCCCACCGGGGTAGGGGGAATGAGAGAGTGGCTGCGTAGTGCTTAGTTGCTGGCTGGGGCTAAACCACAACACCTCCTCAAAGCTGAGTCAACTCTGAGATCAGACCACATCGCTCAGGGCTTCATCTAGTTGGGGCTTGAAAAATTCCAGGGATGAAGAGAGACTCTGCAACCTCCCCAAGTACCCTGTGCCACTGCCTCACTGTCCTCAGTGGGAGAAAAGTCCTTCTTACATCCAGGCTAAATCTCATTTCAATTTATGCTCCCATCAGGCACCATCATTATAATGCATTATTTAAATAATGGATCTGTAAATTTTTACGTCTCTCCTGTTTATAGGTGATCTTATGGTCTCAGTAGGAACTAGGTCTTCCTGTATTCAAATTCAAATGCCCCATCACAATTTCTTTTACAAAATAGTATTTTCTAGACTAAGTTAGGGGAAAAAAAAAAAGCTTAAAGCATTCCTGAACGTATACCTAAGAAAGTACCTTAACTGGCAAAACACAAATCAGCTTCTCCTTAGAAACAAACCAAGTAAAAAGGCAGTTATGTTATCGTACCATAAACTGTTAAGAAGTGGTCAGCATTTACAATTATCACATGAAATATTTTGGTCCAAATGCAGCATTACAGTATTATGAGAATGGATCATTTGTACGATACAAAGAACGAACAATAGAAGTCTAGCAGCTCTGTAACAGGCTCCTGTTACTTTCATACTTGTACCAAAATTAATTTGTGACACTTCTCATAGACACAGGTCTGTATCATAAAATGTCTCTCTTGCTCTTTGAATTTGAAAGTCATGTTAACTGGTACCTTCTGAGATACGAATCTCAGCTCTCCGGGACCAGGGGGAATTAAGCAAACTGGACACACATAAGTCCATGGACCCTAATGGGATATAGCCCTGAGCACTAAGGAAGCTGGCAGGTGTCCATTGCAAGGCCACTCTCGATAACTGTTGATTAATCATCGCAACTGTGAGAAGTACCTGAAGACTGGAGAAAGGCAAATGTTACTCCTATCTTCAAGGGCAAGAAGGAGGGCCCAGGGAAATATAGGCTGGTCAGCCTCACCTTGAGCCCTGGAAAGGTGATGGAGCTGCTAATCCTGGAAACCAGTCAGGCACGTTAAGGACAATCAAATCATCCAGAGCAGTCAACTTCACCAAGGTGAAATCATGCTCCAGTAACCTGATACAAGTTCTGTGATGACATGACTGGCCTACTAGGTGGGGGGACAGCAGTGGGTATCATCTACCTGGACTTCAGTAAGGCTTTGAGACTGTCTCCTGTAAGACTCTCACAGAAAAGCTGTTGATGTACGGTCTGGATGTGCAGACAGTGAGGTGGATTGAAAACTGCCTGGATAGCTGGGCACAAAGTCTAGTTAGAGGTCAGTGACTAGCAGTGTACTCCAGCAGTCAAAAGTGGTTCCTGTCCTGTTTAATGTCTTCATTAATGGGCAGAGCTTGCAGATGACACCAAACTGGGAGTGGCTGATACACCAAAGGGTCATGCTGCCATCCACAGGAACCTCAGTAGGCTCCAGAAACAGGCCAGCATGAACCTCATGAAGTTCAATGAGCAGTGCAAAGTCCAGTACCCGGGGAGGAACAACCTCATGCACCAGTACACACTGGGTGTCACCCAGCTGGAAAGCAGCTTGGCAGAAAAGGACCTGGGGGTCCTGGTGGACACAAAGTTGAATATGAACCAGCAGCATGCCCTTGCTGCATCCTGGGTTGCATTAAACAAAGCATTGCCCAGCAGGTTGAGGGAGGTTACCTTTCCCCTTTATTCAACACTGGTGAGGGCACACCAGGAGTACTGTGTCCAGTTCCAGCCTTCCCAGTACAAGAGGGACATGGACATACTGGACAGAGTCCAGCAAAGGGTCACAAGGATGATTAAGGGATTGGAGCATTTCTCCTATGTGGAAAGTCTGAGAGCTGGGACTGTTCAGACTGGAGAAGAGAAGGCTCAGGGGGATCTCATCAGTGGATACACCACCTGAAGGGAGGATGCAAAGAAGACAGAGCCAGGTTTTTTTCAGTGATGACCAGTGACAGGACAAGAGCCAATGGGCACAAACCAAAACACAGGAGGGCCTGTCTGAACACAGGAAATACTTTTTCCACTCTGAGGGTGATTCAGTACTGGCACAGGTTGCCCAAAGAAGTTGTGGAGTCTCCCCACTTAGAGGTATTTAGAAGTCATCTGGACATGGTCCTGGACAACCAGCTCTGGGTGGTCCTGCTCAAGCAGGGAGGTTGGACCAGATGACTTCTGGAGGTCCCTTCCAACCTCAACCATTCTGTGAGATGTGGAATGAAGTAGGCAGACTAGGAAAAATTAAGTCCAATTTGGCAGGCACTTTGGATAACCCTGTACTTGCCAAGACAACATACCAATTGTTTACTGTAAGTCACCAACTCCACACTAGTTTTTCAAACTCAGGCAACAGACAACAGAAAAACTGTCAACAGGCTCTAGGTGGCCCTGCTTGAGCAGGGTGTTTGGATCAGATGACTGCCAGAGGTCCCTTCCAACCTCAAGTATTTGGAGATTCTTTGATCTTGGCATATTTGAAATGATTCTCATCCACTACTTATCTCCTTCAGGTCAGAATCACAAAAGGAGAGCATAGTAAACTTCCACTACAGATGTCCACATGGAATTTGAAGCACTCCATGTACATGACAGATCTGGAATTATTTAACAAATTAAGGTGGGGAGACAGAATATAACAAAGTCTCTTCGATGTTGCTCTTCAACTGTTATACTTTGGGATTCACTCCCTTTTCATTAAACTGCCCACTTTAGATCTTGACTACTATACAACAGCATGGACTGGTTTGTTCTAGAACTAGACACTTCAAATCTCTGGATAAGCACCTACGTTGTTCTACATTGTATCAAATATATAGGCCTTTTGCATTCTGCTCTGCTGTACTGGGTTTGCATGGCAAGGTTTTGGTAGTGCGGGAGCTACAGGGGTTGCTTCTGTGAGAAGCCGATAGAAGCTTCCCCTATGTCCGACAGAGCCAATGCCAGCTGGGTCCAAGATAGACCCACTGCTGGCCAAGCCGAACCAATCAGCAATGGTGGTAGTGCCTCTGGATTAACATCTTTAAGAAGTGGGGGGGAAGGGGACACCAACAGGACACAAACTGCAGCTGGAGTGAGGAGTGAGAATATGTGAGAGAACAACTACACAGACACCAAGGTCAGTGAAGAAGGAAGGGAAGGAGGTGCTCCAGGCACTGGAGCAGAGATTCCCCTGCAGCCCATGGTGAAGACCATGGTGAGGCAGGCTGTCCCCCTGCAGCCCATGGAGGTTAACGGTAGAGCAGATACACACCTCCAGACCGTGGAGGACTCCACGCTGGAGCAGGTGGATGTGCCTGAAGGAGGCTGTGACCCCATGGGAAGCCCGTGCTGAAGCAGGCTCATGGCAGGACCTGTGCACCCATGGAGAGAGAGGAGCCCACACTGGAGCAGGTTTGCCAGCAGGACTTGTAACCAGCTGGGGGACCCATGCTGGAGCAGTCTGCTCCTGAAGGACCACACCCCATGGAAGGGACCCATGTAGGAGCAGTTCATGAAGAACTCTAGCCCATCGGAAGGACCCATGTTGGAGAAGTTCGGGGAGGACTGTCTCCCATGGGAGGGACTCCACGCTGGAGCAGGGGAAGACTGTGAGGAGTCTCCCCTGAGGAGAAAGGAGCGGCAGAGACAACGTGTGATGAACTGACCGCAACCCCTATTCCCTGTCCACCTGCACCACTCGGGGGAGGAGGTAGAAAAATCAGGAGTGAAGCTGAGCCCAGGAAGAAGGGAGCGGTGGGGGAAGGTGTTTTTAAGATTTGGTTTTATTTCTCATTACCCTACTCAGTTTTGCTTCGTAATAAATTAAACTGATTTCCCCCACATCAAGTCTGTTTTGCCTGTGACGGTAGTTGCTGAGTGATCACCCTGTTCTTGTCTCGACCCATGAGCTTTTTGTTATATTTTTTCTCCCCTGTCCAGTTGACAAGGGGAGTGATAGAGTGGTGTTTAGCTGCCTGCCGGGTTAAACCACAACATCTGCAAACACAACAAACCATCCCTTCACGTACAAACTTCAATGATTTTTGGTGTTTCTAGATGTTGAACAACTCAAGCAAAGTAATCTTCCTTGAAGAAGCAAAACCAGATTATACGTGGTATTCTACGTAAACAGAGCAGAAGTTCTCAGACGGTGAGTTATAATCTTACCTGAATTACCAGAGCAAGTATCACAAACTGGAGCTCAGAACATGAAGGATATAATATTCAATATTGTATATGTCCAATAACATACAGACTATGTGATTTCTGTGATATGTGTAGAAAACAGCTGCAGTACTAACCTGTGTCACACTGCTGTTTTGATGTATTCCTTACTTTAAAAAGTATTTCTTAAAAAACTAGTCTATTTCACCAGTTTCTTTGGACTAAATAAAAAACAGTTTATCTGAATAAAGAGGTAAAAGAAGCAAGACTAAAACTAAGTAGAATGCTAGTAAGTGTGGGCTAGAGAGCATTATTCAGCATGCTGAAGTCAGAATTCAATCACATAACAAGGAAAAACCCTAACACTTTTACCTTACTGAAACTAACATTGTTAGGGTTTCTGTAACACAGAGACTTTAAGCTTCAGTACTTACAAAGGATAGCCATTGATAAGTTCCATAATGACTGCATGCCTGTTGTAGTCTACAGGTTTTGGAACAGGAAACTTTCTGTCATACAAAGCCTGGAAAGAGACAACATATTGAAAATTAAAATTACTAGTTAAGAAAACATTACATATATTGACAAACTCCTGTCTAAGATAAGCAATAAATACTGCTGTGGAAGCAGCATACATTATGCTAACTCAAATGCTAACTGGAATCATCAAATCACATGCTTAAGAAGGAAGACAGCATAACAGCCATTTGAACTTTCTCTGCAAAGACAAATAAAATTCTGAAGTTTAGACACTAAGCACACTGCTATATTGTCTACTGCTTAATTATCATGCATCTGGAAGAAAAACACAACAGAACAGAAAAATGACAGAATCATATCTGGTCTGTTAGCTCAAGTAACCAATAGCAGATAACTGGGAATAGGGTGTCAGGCGTAATAAAAAAATTCTACACTGAGTTGCTGCCGATACAGTTCTGCCTGACTAGTTAATCCATACTCAGCTGCTGTAAGACAAAAGTTCATTCTTAAATATTAATAAACAGCATTACACTACATCAAAGATTAACCAAAGGTAGGTCATAATATTTTGAAGCTCTCCTGTTTGCCTTTTCTAACACAAATTTAGTTATTCACTTGATCCACTCAACTTTTTAATGGGTTCATTCTCTTTTTACTCATTCTCTTGATACCAGTGACTTTTTCTAAGACAGAGTTCTAAGTTAAAGTAAGATAAATACAGCTTTTGTTACTTAAATACTGCACTACCATCAATTTTCAGTACATAATTAATCCTCCCCCAACTCCCCTTTCAGGGAAACTGACCCCCATGATTACATTTCTACAAGTCCTGACCACGTAACACTTTACTAATTGGATCAACTGGACCAATATAGAGGTTCTAAATGATGGTAATAGTTCTTTCTCTCTCTGTAGAAGCCACTGGTATCAAGGTTTTTTTAAGAGAAACAAGAAAATAATATTTAACGTATACAGTACTGTTGCACAGACAAAAGGAGAAGGGAAAACTAATTTTTTTATAAGTAATTACTTTTCCACTATCAACTTTCAATCACTACATAACATCTCCATTTTTTTAAAGCAGGTCAAAAAATCTGGTACTCTGGGAGTACCAATATACGCTTGGAAAGTAAATGTTTTCCCACAGTACAGAACAAAGTGTGCCTTTTCATATCAGAACACCAGTCTGGACTGAAAGATTTCCCTCATCAGCACAGCAACAACTGAACACATGGTAAATTAAAAAATAAATAAATTAATTAAAAAAATGACAGCTAAACAACAACAACAAAAAAAGAGTAATTTTGACAAGTGGGAAAAGTAGCTGTAAATTTCCTTGCTTTTTAAGGTGTTTTTGTGAGCTTATGCAATAAATTTTAAAGGAAAACAGCAGAACTGGTGATACATAAATCAGAGAAGGTAAACCAACAACATTCATCTGAAATTCTGTTATCACACCTGCTTCTGTTCCACATGACTTCCATGGCAAAACTTTGTTTTGTCATTGGAAAGTATACTAAACATAGCACTGAAATTCTCTGAAACGTATCCTTTAAGTCCACTAGTTAAAAAAAAAAAAAAGCACGTAAATCCTACTAGTACTGCAAATACAACTGATCAAAAGAAAAGTATCTTCCAGTCTATTACACCACTGCTGATATTGTGTGTGAATGGCCACGTACCTTCATATAGGCAAACTCCTTCATTGCTGCTAGCCGGGATAAATACAGCCATGACATTTTATGTCTGTGCTTGTGGTAGTCGCGTTTATTTTTCAGACTGCGAAAGGAAGTTCTTCCAAGCCTATGTAATTTCAATGCAAACTGTTGTCCCTCTTCATTTGCAACAATATAAATATCTAGAAGACACATAATGGCAAAGATCTAAGAAATAAATGATATCTAACAAGCTAGTACCTGATGAAAAAGTGCAGTGATAAGTCTGTTACTTCACTTCTCAATTACTATTCCTGGCATGCCAAGTTCTACTACACTTAGTAAAGACAGCTAAATTTACGTACTGTACATTAGAGATCTGAATAAGAAGAAATTCCTGTTAAAGAGATCATGGTACTCCATTAGAAGAAATACGCTATGATCCGATGCATCTTTCAGAGGAGGAGATCTTAAAGTTCCTACATTCAGGTTAACATCCCCAGGCTATCTGCACAGCAAAGAACAAATATAAGCTATCCTTGAGAGAAATCTAGGGCAGATGCTCGTGTTCTTAATCACACTCTGGAAGAGCCGCCTTCTTTCTACTGAGTGGACAGACAACCCAAGGGACCAGCCTTTTAATTTAAACAGTGTTAACAAATAGCCTATGTTTCATTGCTACCATTTGTTCCAAATAAACCCGTTCTCGTTCTCCAATTACACAAGTTACATGCTGTGTCAAATTGCAATCTACATGAACATAAGAGGAACCAAGATAGTATTCCAACAGTTTCAAGCCTATTTTACTTTACTATCTTATTTTTAAGTGGGATGAAAAAGTTGAAATTATCTGTTTGCTAAAATGGTTCAAACCTCTTCACAAAGCATGAGACAAACGGCCTGCAAGGTACCTTTTTAAGCAATGGACCAAGAATCAGAGAAAATGGTCAAAGCAGAACGACACTTCTGTGAAGAAATATTCAAATGCAGCCAGAAGCCTCACATAGCACTTCAACAAGTGACCCATAAATCTTGGTGTTTGACAGGTTAATTGATGTGACTATCCAGAGGAAAACTTACCTAGTTTCTAGCAAAACATTTGCAACATTACAGCTCTGTTTGCTTAAAAAAATTATTAAAAATGGGGGTTTTCTTAATTACCTGATTCTTTGCCAACACCCATCTGGTTTCCAACAGAATTTATGACTTGTCGGGAAGACAGAGTTTTCAAAGCAAGGTAATCATATCCTGCATTAGTTAACCGATAACCCTGGAAAGCTAGATAAGAATAAAATGCAAAACACTTAATTCCTCATTATGGATACACTACATTTAAAATAAGTCTCAGTTTAGTCTTGTTTCAGCTTACAGTACACCACACCCAAGTAATATTTCACATGTTGGCTAATATCAGCCCACTTTGACAGAATGGTAAAGGCGTTTTAATTCCTGCAAGTTTTATGAAAATTGAAAACTGGGCAAAAGACAGACATGCTGTTAGCGCCTCTCTAATAGAGGCAATGGCAGTTCTTTAAATAGCCTGGGAAAACCCAAGAAGCATTTTGGAAGATACACACATAGGAGATACATCATGGATCTGAGATTGCTGTGATGATCTAGAGCAACCCTTAATGCTCTGAAGAACTGGGACAAAAAGCACAGGAATTTCCTGTAGACTCCTACAGTATGTTTGCAAAGCCAGACGCAACTAAAAGGCTGAAGGAAATGAGGAAAGCCCTGCACAACTACTACTTCCACACATGACAGGGAATAAAAACTACTTTAGTAGCTGTTTCTGAGGGGGTGAAATGTACAAGGGTTTAGCAGTCCGCTCCAGTTTGTGTACTATAAGGCTGTAACTCATTTGGGCTGATTCCTGTATGCATTTGAATATTGCCTTAACCGATCATTCTTTTATTTTTCATTACTTCGGTGACTGAGCAAAAAAGACAGTTAACTGTTCATCTCTTTTCTGCCTGTCATCTTTATCATTTGTTCATCACCAGCAGCTCACCAGACAGCTACAACATCTGGTGCTGCGCAAATCCATATTCCCAGAACAAGTCCAAGCGAAGGTAAGGCTAGCCAAGTGCTCTGGACGTTCATACATGCCATGCTGTGGTACTTCTGCAAGTACCACTGTAAGGCATTGGGGACAGAATGAAAGAGGGAGCCCAACACAAAATTCAAACTCACTTTTAGTTCGTTCATAAGCTAGAAGTTTGTGCTTCACCAACTCTCTCAAAATTTTATTACAGCCACCATGTTTAAGGCTGGCAATGGAAGCAATTAAGCTAGCCGGAACTATTTCATGGTTCTTCATGCCCATTTCCACCTAAAAGAGTAAATAAAGATAGATTTGTTAGCCCCTGTGTTCAGCAATGAAATAATATCAGCTCTCACTTGAGACTAAAATCACTTTTCATGGATGCATTATTATTTTTTTTACGACTTAGCCAAACCTTTTAATGTGCATCACTGCCCCCTGATACTCTTTGTATAATTCAGCCTTGGAAATTCTACGGTACTGGCCAGAAGATGAATGGCTGATTAGAGTTCAGTCTCAGGAGTGGATGAAGGAGCTGTTATACATTTCTGAAATGAGACACTTTTCTCATACTTACACAGCCACAGCTCAGCCTTTCCACTAGTACTCCTGCTGTCAGAACAGTCAGACATGCCCAACCGATGCAGCCTGTGCTTACCATGCAACTAGCCATGGCAGCATACCACACACTGGTAAACCTTTGCTCATTCCTCATTAAACAGGATGCCAAAAGCAATCAGCACGTGTGGAGCAACTGGTGACCGTACCTCACTGGGCAGCCACCACCTCGGCAGCCCCAGCGACCGCCCTGCCATTAACGATCCCTCCGAGGAGGCCGGCTGAAGGAAGAAGGGCACGACGTGGGCCCTCCCCACCGGGACACACCAACATCGGACCCTAGGGGAGGCAGTGAGAAGAGAAGCAGGCCCCACTCCGCTGCAGACTTCCTCCCGCTGCCGTTTATGACACAACCAATCCAGTTTCCCATCCGTGCACGGACCCTGTCCAACCCCGCTTAGCTAACCGGCCATGCGGATCTCCGCGCGCAGGGCCGGGCTAGGCAGGCCTCCCCTGCTCCCCACGCTCGCCTGCCCCCACAGCCAGGCCTCCCCACAGGCTCACCGCTGTCAGGACCCTGAAATGCTCCCTGGAGAGGTACCGAAGCATCACCACATTCAGCTTCCCCATGACCGCTGCGGCCCGTACACGCTAGCGGCGCGAAGAGCACGCTTAGAAGAGAGCGAGGAGAACAACTAGGCCTCTCCACCCCTGCGGAAACACGCCAGCAC